AAACAAAAGCCCAGCCACCCACACCTTCGTGCACAGACATTTTCCGTTTTCAGGCGCTCACACACATTTCCAGTAGCACTGCCCTAATCCTTTTGACGTGGCTTTTATCGCACTTGCCCGCTTTTTCGCCTGCAGCTTGTGCCGAAAGGGTAGCAAAATGGATTTTCGAGTTGCTCAAACGAGTTTACCACATTTTAAACTAAACTGGGAACTCAGAATTAATTCTTTTTCTGCTCTCTTTACATTTAATGCCTTTGGTCTTTTGGTTTTTAGTTTTATATTGGCATTTAGAGTGCTAGAACTTGTTTGCATTTATATGTTCATTAATATTAAATAGTTATTTGGAAATGCATATTATTTTCAGATATGATTATTCCAAAACCATTTAGCATTATTTACATTAGTAACAAGAATAAGCTAATTTTTGGAGGCATTTAAATCAAAATATTTTAGATTCCAACTTTTTACACATAGTTATCACGTTAAACTTGACCTTTTTTTATCCCTTAAATGTCGAAAAATGTTCTAAGAAACTATTAAAACTTTTCAATATGTAATTCAAAAGAAATAAAACGGCACAACTTTTTCGGTTAATATTTTAATTAAACTGGTTATAAAAACGAAACTATTAAAGAGTATCGGTAAGTCGATAAGTGCTGCCGCATTCCCTTTCCTTTTTTAAAGCTTTCCGTTTCGTTCTCGATTTTTTGTAGTTTTCTTTTTACATATTTTGTGTGAGCTGGGTATCTCATTATGTGCTCGAGCTCCGTCTTGGGTTACATATTTTTCATAACCATATGTACGTGCATAATAACTCCCCTCGCTCACACATATTGACTCTTTGGGGGCTTCATTTGCTCAAGTGTTTTTCTGAGGCCCCTTGGGGGCGGTGGCTCTTGGCGCGTTGCACAGGAAACAGCCACAGCAAATAGCAACAGGCAGACAGGATGTTGAAAAGGATTCCGCAAAAAAAAAATATATAGGAAAAAATCATAAGCCTTTTGTGGGGCTTCATGCCAAGTCATCTTGTGTCGTGTCAGTCATAAATTAAGTGAGTTTCTTACAGTTTTTTTAATCTCAATTTTTTTTTGCACATCTTTTCTGGATCTTGGGGCAGCTGCTTTTGTGCCACTTTCGAGCGCAAATTAATTAAGACATTTTCGATGAGATCAACTTAAATGCGAGACGAGGCCAAATACAAATTACGAGCGCTCCGCACGTGAAAAACTGTGTCATTGTGTGACATCAAAACCAACAAAAAGCCAACAGAAGCCGCAATAAAAACCAGAGAAAAATCCAGACACGTACGGGCCAGGAAACAAGACAGTTGCTGCAGATTCAGCTTCAGCTCCAGCCCAAGCTACAGCTATTGCCGATGCGAGACCAATCCTCTCCAGCTCGCCAAGACGGCTTGGCGGCATCAATTTTTGTCCAGTAGCCGAGAAAATGTCACGTTTCCACATAAGTTACAAAGGCTTTCGGCCACGTTGAGCGTGAGAATTGGCAACTGGCAGTCGCTCTCCTTCGGTCCGTATGTGTTTTCCTGCTCCAGGAAAAGGTACTTTCCATGGTGAAAATTAATTGCCGTCCGTGTTGCAGTCTCACTCTTTGTCTGGCAATTAATTGGAAAGCAGATCCACTAAACAAAAGCGAGTCCAAAGGTGTACGCCTGACATTTCCACTCTCACACAGGAAAAAAATTTATTTAGGTTTCCTATTAGTCATCTGCTTTCAATTTAAACATTCTAAGTAGCAAATTGGATCCTTTAAATATATTACCTCAAAAAAAATTATTGTAAAAACCTTAAAAACAACAAACCGTAAATAACAATTTTTTGGCATAATTCGAAACAATTCACAAAAAAATATTAGTGATACAATTATGATAGAGAATTATTTATGTGATGGCAATAATAATAAAAAACAAGAAAGGAAAGCTAACTTCGGGCGGAGCCGAAGTTGATATACCCTTGCAGAATACTCTGTAAATTATATTCTCCAAAATTATTCATATGATGCATTCTTAATACTCATAAAAAATCCCAACTTCCTAACTTTAAAAACACCAAAGTTGTGGCATTTCCAATCATTCAGTTATGTATATGGCAGCTATAGAATATAGTCGGCCGATCCTTATGAAATTTAATATGTCGGATTGATTGGGCAAAAATAAAACCCATATAAAATCCCAACTTCCTAACTTAACAAACACCAAAGTTATGGCATTTCCGATCAATCAGTTATATGGCAGCTATAAGATATAGTCGGCCGATCCTTATGAAATTTGGTAGGTCGGATTAATTGGCCAAATATAAAACCCATAGAAAATCCCAACTTTCCAACTTTACAAACACCAAAGTTATGGCATTTCCGATCAATCAGTTATATAGCAGCTATAGGATATAGTCGGCCGATCCTTATGAAATTTGGTATGTCGGATTGATTGGCCAAATATAATACCCATAGAGAGTCCCAACTTCCTAACTAAACAAACAGCAGAGTTATGGCATTTCCGATCAATCAGTTATATGGCAGCTATAGGATATAGTCGGCCGATCCCGGCCGTTCCGACTTATATACTGCGTGCAAAGGAAAGAAGGGTGTGTGCAAAGTTTCAATTCGATATCTTTAAAACTGAGAGACTAGTTCGCGTAGAAACAGACAGACGGACAGACAGACGGACAGACGGACAGGCGGACAGACGGACAGACGGACAGACGGACAGACGGACATGGCTATATCAACTCAGGAGGTGATCCTGATCAAGAATATATATACTTTATAGGGTCGGAGATGTCTCCTTCACTGCGTTGCACACTTTTGACCAAAATTATAATACCCTCTGCAAGGGTATAAAAATTTAGAAAAAATTCAGTTTTTAAATAAAATAATAGGAAGCTTTTTTACCATTAATAACATCCAACAAAAGTATTAAATTTATATGTCACAGTTAACAAATAAAACACAAAAATGAGGATATAATTTTTTCCGTGCAACGCAAAGGTTTTACCAGAGGCTTTTGTTCGATAATCCCGGAAAAGTTGTTCATTTTTTTTAGCACTAAAAAATCCATTAAACTTTTTCATGCCTTAGCCAGAGGGTGAAAAAGATTTAATAATAGTTACGGGGCAACTAAAGTTACGGGTTATTGTAGTATGACCCAATAATAGCCGCAAATGCATTTAATTTGGGCAGGAGGGTTGGGCGCCCTTCCTCAGGGCTCGTTAAATGCTTTATGGCCGACTCTTTACGGCCCCAACTGCTGTTCCTGGCTCGGTTTCCATGGCTACTGGCTTCCAGCCTCGCTCCAATCGGAATAGGAAAGCAATTAGGGATTGATGTTCTTCCGGGCGAAGGGAGGCCATAGTCAATTGGCAGGTAGAATCGGCTTCAGCCGAGCAGCAGGTGCGGTCACTTTGCTAATTGCCAACTAATTTACTGAAGTGAGTCCCACACATTAGAATTCCATCTCCATCCCCCGAGTTGCACTGCAATGGTCCAATATTACAAGCAATCAGAGTTGACATATTAGCGTTAATGGTCAAAAACAGAAAAATGTTGCAATCGCAAGAAAGTGTTGTCATCAAAAAAGAGTACTTTGCATTTTCCTGGTCAAAAATATGATTTCAGATTTTATTATTAATTTTTAACATATTAGAAAACGCCTTTTCTATTTGACAGTTTTACAATAGGCTGGTAAAAAATATAGGAGATGTTATGGACTTGAAACTCTTCCTACATTTAATTTTACAATATTATTTAAAAATTTAATTTCCAAAAAAAAAATGTTTCTATGCGTCAAAATATTACAAATGATCATATGTACACTTGGTCACAAAATATTATATGTTAATCTAAACACCACCAATAAATAGAATTTTTAATTTTAAAGAACACTTTTAATATTTTAAATCTCCTATTTTTCCGAACAATTTAGAAATAGGAAGTATAATAACGGTTTCCAGTTATTATAATTTATGCTAATCAGTACGTGTATAGAAGGAAATATAATTGTTATAGCTAATTAATAAATTATTTTAATCACTTTTAAACTGCATATATTCAATGCAAATTTTAGCCAATTCCTGTAATGTTCAGTTGGGCAGCACTGCCAGCAGTCTACGCAATACAACATCCCACTTCACGACGTCTCGTAATCAGCCGCATTTATGTTTGGCCATAAAATATGCAAATATCCTTTAAGTACTTTTAATGTCTTGCCATTTGTTGGTCCGCAGGCTGTTGGCCCATGGCCATGTCCTCCTCCGCAGACTCCGCCTCCCTTTTGTTAATGGCATGTTTGGCATTGTCGCACAGTCGTCTTGTCTATTCTATATGCACGTTCCCCTGGAGCTTGCATTTTCATTTTGTGCACTTTGCCATTTCTTCAGTTAAAGTCTTCTTCCTTACTTTATGGCCCTCATAAATAACACCCTGTCGTTGTATCGGTGTCTGCACTTATATATGTATATCCCTGTGTGAGAACTTGAAGAGCTGATCTGCGGACACAGGAATATTTCAACTTCGAACCAAAAGGGGGGAAATTTGTTGCCAACATTTCATTTACCTAATGTCCCCTGGGTAGCAAAGGTGCTTGTGCATATTTCTGATATCTTTGCGACAACTTAGTTTACTTTCATCGATAATTTTTTTAATTTACTAATGGAATTGCTAAAAGAATTTAGAGCCTCGGATATATTGGCAAACTTATGTTAAAAGACCCTTCGTTTACTGCTTAGTTTGTAATTTATTCTTAGACCTTAAAAATCTTTTTCTTAAAATTGACTTTTATTCTTTCATTTAAGTATGAAGGTCTACAGGGTATCGTATAGTATACTCCATTTTTATATTAGTTTCGTTTTAATTTCTCTTGCAGTGAGTTGTGCATTTTTGCATATTTTTGTGAGCTGCTTTTTCCCAAGCTGAACTATATATCCTTGCCGTTGTGAATGTAGAATTACATTGATTAATGTTGCCTCATTTTTTCCGACTATTTGCAGGACAAAGGACTCCGGGAAAGCAGCTTACCGACTGGCAAAGCGACAGCGGCAAAAAGAAAAGCCAACTTAACAAGGACTATTCGCACACTGTGGCCAGCGGAGGAGGAGGAAATCGAACCGAATGCAGTATCTCAACTACGCTCTGCAGACATCCACGCGACTGCTGACGTACCAGGGCCCGAACCAGGATCTGTATCCTGACCACACAGGACTCGCCTCCGCCCACGAGGAGGACCTTAAGCACGCCTGCTGCAGTCGCGGCGCCCAGCTGCTCAGATTGCGCCACCGGGAGCTGGCCAAGCGACGAGCTCTCGAGGATCAGATAAACGCCAACCAGGAGGAGGAGCCGGAGGATCAGCAGCAGGAGCAGGAGGATCTGCGGGAGGAATTGGACAGCGACCAGGGAGCCGTGGGCGGGGAGCATCTGCATCCACAGCCAGTCCAATGAAACTTACTCTCATTTAATGTCCAACTGGCGCGCAGCAAGCTGCTCTCGTTCTTCAACCGCGACATGGCCGCCACCGATGGCCAGATCATATTGGCCGCCTCCCGATTCGGCGATGCCACGCCCGTTTACCTGCGCGACTTCTCCAAGCAGCCGCTGCCGGCGGTGGCCAAGATCCTTAAGGGCCAGCACCAGGCCCTGGGCGTGCCCACCCTCTCGGCCCCCTCCCTGCAGAGCACCGCCCTCTTCCTGAGCGCCGGCAAAAAGTACCAGATCCTGGCCCAGCCCATAAAGATCAAGGAGGGCCGCAAGCCCACCAATGTGGGCGCCAAGGTGCTCATCCCGGAGACCTACGGCGGCTATTTCGAGCTCCTCAGCGAGGACGGCCGCTCCACGAGATGCATTGACTCCGTGCTGGAGCTATCGAGGCGCCGCAATGCCAGGGTCCTCGTCCGGGAGACCTTCCGCTGCCAGCAGATGAACCGCACCATCCACGCCGGCGAACTGCTGACCACCATGAACGACAACGGGAAGTACCTGCAGTGCCGCAACATCAAGGACGAGATCATCAATCTGCCACTCGATACCAAAGCCAAGTTCTCGCCGATCGCCAGGGAGGACAGCATCAGCGGTGTGCACACCGTCAAGAATCTGCTGCTCAAGCGGATGCCAGTCATTGTGAGGTAAGACTTAAGATTCAATTATACAAATAAATGTATTACAATACGTAGTACTTTACAATACTTACAATCACAAGATATAAATTTAGCATAAAACCGAATATTGCAAGAGGAAATATTCTTAAAAGACCAATTAGTTTCTTGACATCAAATTAATTTATTTTTAATCACATTTTGTGCATGCTCTTTTATTAGACTTCTTCCAAATTACAAAGTTTTTAAGTGAAAAGTTCCGAAAAAGCATGCCTTATTGTGAAACGACAATACTTAAGAACTGAAACTTTAAATATTAATTAAAGATCTTCAATCCTTAGTTTAGATTATTTTTGTTTACCAAAATGTATATATTTTTTATTTTGTGGATATTAAAAATAAAATTGCTGAACACCAAAAATATGTTAGGTACAAAAAAATATTATTAGAAAACATTTTAATATAGTTTCTAATACAAACTTTTTATCAAGGCCATATTATAAATTTCAAAGACATTATTATACAAATCTTAATTGAATCGAAACCTAAAATTAAATAATGAATTAGATACACTTAAATCTCATCTAAAATGGGTAGTCTAGATTTATAGTCTCTGAATGTGATTAGGTACCAATTTCGTGTTTTAAGTAAAATTAGACGTGAATTATTTATTAACCAGGATCCTTTATCTCCACTTTACAGACTCGTCCACGGCAGTGCGCCCAAGGGCCTGAAGCAGCCCTTCGTGCCCGAACTGCGACTGCTGGGCTGCGTGGAGATCGACAGGATCTTCGCATTGCCACTGCAGAAGGACACGGACTTGGTGCCGGTGCCGCTGAACGCCAAGATCAAGCTGCAGCGGGCCAAGAACATGGAGCAGCTGGAGCACTTCATCGAGTACTCGCGATTCCTGGACAAGGCACAGCGATTGCTGGCCGATGCACGCGATCGCCTGCAGATCGTCGATCTCAAGCTGAGCGAGAAGGAGAAGAAGGACTCCAAGTTCAATAGTCGCAATGGGGGCAGGCTGCCGGTGGTAATGCTGCCATCGGCGGCCGGAATGGCCAGTGGACTGGCGGAAAGTGGGTATGTGTTACGCAAGAGTGCCAGTTGCGATTCGTGGTCCAAGCAACAGCAGCAGGCCTTAAGCAGCAGCGAAATCGCCGAGGAGTACAACGAGATCGATCATATCTATGATTATGTGAGGGGCTTGACGCCGCTGTCAAAGGGATTGGCCCGCTTCGAGCCGATCTGCGAGTCACCCACTCTGCGATCGCACCACACGGATAGTGGCAGTGGCAACTACTGCAGTCTGATCAGGGCTCCGGTTCACCAGCAGGCAGCCACCTCCTCGGGAAACAACAACTACAGCAGCTTGGAGTCCAACAAGCACAGCAGTAGCGGCGGTGGCCATCATCCCGGTCACCAGCAGCAGCATCATCACCACCATCACATGGTGAATCACTACCATCATGGCCATATTCAGGAGGACATCAAGCCGGTGCCGCCGCCCATCGAAACGATTCCGGGCAAGAAGCCGGCGGAGAAGCGCCAGCGTCCCACTCTACCAAAGCTTTACATCAAGAATGCCCACAGTGCTGGGAGCAGCAGCAATGGCAACTCCACGGGCACCACCCACAGCACCAGTCACAGTCACAGTCACAGCCATAGTCACAGTCACGCCCACAGTCACGGCCACGCCCAGGCGCAGCAGCAGCCGCCCACTCCCAATGGGAATACGGCCAATGCGGTGGCCAATGCGGCGGCTGCTGCGGTGGCAGCTGCCCATCATGGTTCCCACGGATCGCACGGCTCACATCCGCACCAGCATCCGCATCCCCATCCGCATCCGCATGCCAGTGTGCACGCACATCCGCATCCTCATCACGGCAAGGTGCTGACGCCCAACAACCATCTGCCGAGCAAGGAGGCCCTGGAGCCCCAGTCGCCGCTATTCCACATCAGGTAAGCAGATCAATCCTGGTTGGGAATACCCAAAATATATTAAAAAACTCGGCTTAAATGATAAAAATATACCACACACTAATCAGATATATTAATAAAGACAGAAAAGGTGTATCATTAATATTAAAAAACTACAAAATCCATATTGATCGAAGACTCTGAATAAACCCTTAAAAAGCCAAGTATTGTCAAAACAAGGAATATATATATTTATATTACGATTAACTTAAGAATATTTTTTATTAACAACAATACTAAGATTTTTGGAAAAAGAACGTTATAAAAATATAATAAAAATATCGAGTTCACCAAACATCCATCATAGCCCAAAAGCATGAAAAGAGGTTGAAATAAAAAATTGAATTAAAATTGGAATAGAATCTATAAATTCGAGATCTTATATACAATTAATAGACAGTACAATTTTTCTATTGAAATGAACAACAGGCTTAGAAATATACTATCTGCAACTCCCTTTTATTAATTCACCTTATAACAATTTTAATAAAATCGTAAACTTCTAGATCCTCTATAATATTAATAGGCAGTAAAATGTTTCTATAAAAGTGAAGCGCAGGCTTAGAAATATACTATCTACAACTCCCATTATTTGTTTCACCTTCAGGTACAAGAGTCTCAGCAGCCTGCAGTTGACGCCGGATAACAACAATTGCTCCTCCGTGACGCCGCCGACGATCTCAGCCCACGGCAAGTCATCAGTAGGTGGCGGTGGATCGGGACCAGGAGCAAGTGCGTCGGGAGCTCCGACGGCCACGCCCGGCACTCCGCCGGATGTGGTACTCAAGTGCGGCAGCATCCTCAACGTCCACGGCTACCTGTCCAGTCCGCATCCCCTGCCATTGCCACTGCCCCACAGCCGGAGCTCCAGCAGCAACAACCACCACAATCCGAGGGAGGGGACCCTGGACTCATCCCGCAGCGGAGGCCGGACATCAGGCGACTCGAACAAACTGCCCGAGAAGAAGACGCGCCGCCTGTCTCGGCCCAGGAGTCTGTCCAACCTGGTCTGGGATCTGCGTCCCTCCAAGGAGAAATCGAAGAAGAAGCTCTACATCCATCACTTCGATCAGCGGCAGCAGGCGACGCTGTATCTGTAGGATGGTGGCATGGATGTATCTCCAGGATGACGATGAGGAAGTAGCAGCACGATGATGATGATGATGATGATGATGATGATTCGTTGCCAACTCGTTTCTAGCTGCCATCGACCCCCACAAAACAGAAAAAAAAAGTAAAATAAAACACAATAAAAGAAGAGCAACTACAACTTTTGGCACGCTGTGTGTGTTCCTGCAGGTGAGTTGAATAGCCATGCAAATCGTGCTGCGTTTTGATTGTTTTTTTTTTTTTGTTTTTGCTTATTAAATTCGTGCAACAAACTAAACAAACATTTCAAACGGCCAACTAATAGTTCTTCCCCTCATCCACGTTGCAGTTTTCACCATTTAGCCTGCAGCAGCAATTTTAATTAACATTGAATTGTGCCTTTCCCTGCTACGCCCAGAATTATGCTTTAAAAACCAGATTCCAATGAAGTATTTGATGAGAATATTTCGACCGGATGGAACCCCCGAAAATGAAAGGCTGCCAGCACACACAGAAACACACAACAATCCCCCACATACACAACACAACACGACACGACATACCACACACACACACACACCACACATCAAGTCTATAAAATTGTGATTTTAATTTTATGTTTAATTTAATAATTATTGCGAACCATTTTCAAATTAGACGAAAGCCATTTACGCTATTCAGAAAAATTCACAAAACGAACCTTAAAATCCACAAGAATTAGTTGTCTATAAACGAGATACTTATATATTTAAAGCGTACTGTATTTAAACAGGATAGCGAAAAGGCAAATGTAACTAATAGTAAGTCAATATTATCAAACAACCATATATCAATCATTTAGAGAATGTTATGCAACACTTAAAGCTAGCTAAAATGAATTTATAAATTAATGCAATGAATTTCCTCCTCATAATTTAAATGTTGTGCAAACTGTTGATTGAATGCAATTAAACCATAATCGAACAACTCTTGTTTAGTAATTAGTTTTGCTCAGAGCCAGATACTTCCCCCAAACCCCCGCGAAACCCCCCGAAAACCCACTTCCCCACGATCTGCTCGCAATCGCATTGTCTTAGTCGTTTAGTCTGTACATTTTAGTTGTATTATCCAGCTTCTATGGCCTATAAATAGGGAGTATATATACATACATATATGTAAAACTATAATATAACTTGTATTTGTGTCTAAATAAATGTCTCAGAAAAATAAATGTATATGCAAAACAATCTCGAGCGTTGAAAGTTGTCTTGATTCCTAAGTGTGGGAGGCTAAACTATC